GTAGGGAAAAAAGCGTACACCTCTGAAACACTCCTATACAGGGATGCAACGTGTTTCTATGCGCAAAGCCCAGAAGAGATGTACTGGGTGCACAAATACACACACACATGCACCCTTGCAGTGCACTTATTCCACCCGTCATAATGACAGGCGTTTTGCTAGAGATGAATAATGCAACAAGGTGTGCACTGAAAAGCGGGGGAGGGTCAGCAGGACAGGGGGGGGGGAGGCGAAAGCAGTTTCCTTGTCTTGTATCTGGGAAGAACATGCACGCTACAGCAGGCACAATAAGCACCTGCAAGCCACAGGGAGGGAGGGAGAAAACTGGGCTCCATTGATTAAAAGGAAGGTGGGTGGGAAGAAGGCAATACAGCCATTGCCCAACCAATGGGGAGCAATTCACACACACAGGGGCAGACACCAGGTGTGAAATGGGGCCACAGCAGGTAGGGGTCAGCCACAGCTGTAGAAGGGTGTCACCACAAATCAGGCTGATGATCTGGTTCAAACTGGCCCATCTGTTCACTCTGGTGTGATAGAAAGCAGAGTCCATTCAGCCGAACAATAACTATCTCATGCAAGGGCTGCGTTAGGTTGCCCAGGTTTATTTTTTAATGACAGTTACTATAAAGAGCGGAAAAATAGGAAACCTCCTCGAGAAATCTGTCCATGCCTGGGCACCGTGAGTGGAATTGTTGATCTAGCCTTGTGTACCCACAGAGTTAGGATCTGTCCTGGAAAGGGGAGGGTGGGAATTTCTCCCACTCAGACAGATGTGTGCATGCACACAGACACACTCCTGGTGGCTCGGGATGCTGAAGAGCAAGAAATGCCACTAAAGCCTGCAGCCCAAAGTGACACGCCGGCTCTTTTCCCTAAAGGGCTGACCTCTCCGCCAGGCCTGCAGCACACACCCATGTACGACAAAAGGTGCACAACCCCCAAACTCATTTACCTTTTAAGGGAAAACAAAAGCTGCCTTGACCTGGAGAGCCCAGGCTAGCCTCATCTTGTCAGATCTCGGGAGCTAAGCAGGGCGGGCCGTGGCTGGTATTTGAACGGGAGACCTCCAAGGAAGTCCAGGGTCCTGACGCGGAGGAAGGCGACAGCAAGCCATCTCTGAACGCCTCTTGCCCTGAAAACCCGACGGGGTCGCCATAAATCGGCTGTGCCTTGACGGTCCACCGCCAAATCGGCAAATAACAACGAAAGGGTGTAGAAGGGGGGGGGGGAGGTCCGTGCAAATACCCCCCCCCCGGAGAGGGGGCTGTCTTCACACACAAACACCCGCGCGTTGTGTCTTTCCAGACACGCCGCAAAGGCAAACGCACACATTAATCCGCACGTGCAAGCCGACACACCAGCGATTAGAAGCGGGGCACAAAAATAAGGACGGCAAGAAGCCAGGGAAGGGGGATGCGGGGCAGGCAGGAGGGGAGGGGAGGCGAGGGGGGGGGGGGATCGGCTTCTCCAAACAGCTGCTCTGCCGCCGCCCTCCCTCCCTCCCTCCCGCGTGCGCCAAGATCAAGAGCTTAAAATAAGGCGCCCCTGAAAGGAGACACCCGCGCCAGGCGAGGCGAGCGGGCTCCATTGAAAAAAAAAACCCGCCAGGAGCTGCAGGAGATCGGCGAGGGCGCCGCGCTTACCGGGCTGGGAGAGGCACGAGGGGCAGCTCTGGCTGCTGCCGGCCGTCTGGAGGCTGCTGCTGCCGGGCTCAGTCCTCGAAGAGCGGCCTCGGAAGCGTCGCGGGCGGAGGGAGGGGCGAGAGTGTGGGAGAATTGCCCTTAACAACTACGATTTGCTTGTTGAAGAACTAGTGATTAACAATCTTTAATATAAATCACAGTTCACAGATCATATCAAGCCAACGTTTCACATCATGGCTTGTGGGCAGTCCTTAATTATTTGAGTATTGATGCTTAAATATGTTTAAGGAAAAGGAATCACAATAAACTTTTTACATATTTAGACCTTAACTCAGATCATTCACATTTATGAAAGCCTCTGATCTGACCTGTTGATCAGACAGGGCTGCTAAGCCCCATATGGAAGGGGGGCACTTGGAGTGGTGGCAGGATATATATATATATATATATATATTTAAATTGCAGTGTGCCAGTGTCAAGTCCAGGCCCCCGCCAGAAAATCTTTGGGGGGGTGGCAAATACCGGGAGTGGGGAGCGTAACTAGATTACAGCGAATTAGATTAGTGACTAACTAAATTCCCCTTTATCCACGATTAGAGCGGCCCTGATATAAGTGGGGTTTTTTTCTTTAAAAATGCATCAGAACATGTGCAGAGTGCCTCCCATCCGCAATTTGGTCTAGCCACTGCCATCCCTGATGTACAAAGCCCAGGAATACGAAGGGTTTTTTTTTAAAGGTACATTTGGAGCTCTTGCAGAGGGCCTCCTCCCCACAGTAAGGACTACTAACCCCTTCCATCCCTGACACGCAAAGCCCTATGTCCCTGGCTAAGGGCTGTGAGCTGATCTGCAGGAGCTGTTTTATATGTTTTAATTATGGCACGGCTAATTACCTTGCCCTTGTTAGCCGCCCTGAGCCCATTGGGGAGAGCGGGATACAAATGTGAAAAATAAATAAATAGATAGATAACCCAATCTTGTCAGGCCTCAGAAGCCACGCAGGGTGGGCCCTGGATAGGACCAGGGGTCATTTGGGGGGGGTACGCGGGGTGACGCCCTCCCCCCGTGAGGTGCGGGAGGGCGGGGCCTTGAGCTCCCTGCTGGTGCCCGCTGGAGGTCGCCGCTGGCTGTGGGGAGGACACACATCCGGTGATGTCAGGGTGTGTGGCATATGCTAATGAGTTATGCTAATGAGTCCCCCTAGCTCTTTTTCTAGGAAATGACCCCTGGATAGGACTAGGACTGGAGATCATCAAGGAAGTCCAGGCTCACTATGCAGAACTGGGTCATATCAGTCTCTTGCCCTGACCTGGATGGCCCACCGGCTAGCCATGGCTCATCAGATCTCGTAAGCTAAGCAGGGGCGGCCCTGGATAGGACTTGGATGGGAGAGACCAGTCCAACGCTCCCTCTAAGCCTTGGAGTCTTGCTTGCAAAAATAACTTTGCGAGCTGCCGGCATTAAGGTTGTGAGCGAGCGATTTGGCTACCGCATAAATTAGTTTGCTCTGGAGCACTCCTTCCTGAGCGGAGACAAAAGTGTGTGAGCCAGAGGCTAAAAAATTATGAGCTAGCTCACACTAACTCAGCTTAGAGGGAACACTGGAGACCACCAAGGAAGCCGAGGGTTGCTACACGGAGGGAGGCAGGCAAGGACAAAACACCTCCGAGCACACACGCGCAGACATCTCTATATATATTCAGGGGTCATTTCCTGCAGGAGCGCACAGGAGCGGAGCTCCAGCAGTAAAGAGCCCAGGGGGCAGGCACATACAACAAGCCCCACCCCCTGCTCCCAGCAGCCCTCAGTCAGAGCAAGGAGCAGCCAGGTAAGTTGCAGAGCTCCCCCCGCCCACCAGTCCAAAACAGTCCAGTGGCACCTTTAAGACCAAGTTTTATTCAGGTACAAGCTCTCCCTCAGAAGACAGATCTGCACGTTTCCCCCCCCCCCCCAAAGCTGGCAATCCAAAAATTAGTCCAGTGGAGCCTGAGCGGTGGGTGTTGCCTTCTGGCACACTTCCGCGATGTCAGGGGGTGTGGCATATGCAAATAAGTGATACTAATGAGTTATGCTAATGAGCTCCTGCACCTCTTTTTCTACAAAATGACCCCTGTATATATTGAAAAAGGAAGAAAAAGTTGGCTGAGCATGTGCAAAGTGCAAAGCCTGAGCCAACCCTGAATTTAAAGAAAGCCCAAATGGATCGCATGAAGGCATCTTCAGAATGCCTTCCTTCCTCAGTTAAGGCTAGCCATAGCCAGCCTAGAAAAATGAAATAATAAAGGGGAAAGGAAGAGGGGCCTTGGGCAAATATGGAATGTCTTCTCACACTATGGAATAAACTTGTCCAGAGTCAACCCTGATGCACATGAAGCCATAACTTGAACATGTGCCCTTGAACATGTGCAGAAGGCCGTGCCATGGAGTCATCTTGGCAAGAGCCAATCCTGGGATTAAGTATTCATTTAAAAGAAAAAGGTGAAATGCCTTAGTACACCTGCAGAGCACATTCCCTCCCCACAGCATAAGATCTATCCCCACACACTTCATATGATTGTATACCATCATATGTATACCAAACTGAGAGCCAGTTTGGTCTAGTGGTTAAGTGCGCGGACTCTAATCTGGGAGAACCGGGTTTGATTCCCCACTTCTCTACATGCAGCTGCTAGATGACCTTGAGCAGGTCATAGTTCTGACAAGAGCTGTCCTTGAAAGGGCAGTTCTTGAAAGAGCTCTCTCAGCTCCACCTACCTCACAGGGTGTCTATTGTGGGGAGGGGCGGGGAGGGGAAGGGAAAGGAGTTTGTAAACTGCTCTGAGACTCCAAGTGAAGGATGAGGTACAAATCCAGTCTCCTCCTCCTCCTCCTCCTCCTCCTCCTCCTCCTCCCCCCAACCCTGGGACCGTGGGATTTGCAAGACAAAAGAGGAGCAGAGGTGATTTGTCGGTGCCTGCCTCTGCATAGCAACCCTGATCTTCCTTTGAGTTGCAACCGACTCATGGTGACCCCGAGACCATGGGCTTTTCAAGACAACCTCTGCATAGCAACCTTGATCTTCCTTCACGTTGCCTGCTTCTGCGCAGCAACCTCGGTCTTCCTTGGTGGTCTCCTGTCCAAATCCTGACCCCGGCTGACACCGCTTAGCTTGTCAGGCTCTAACAAGATTGGGCTAATCGGGGCTATTCAGGCTGCTATGCTTCATACGAGAGATTCCAAACTGTATCGACGGGGGCGGGGGAGAGCTGGGGAATGAGCATAATTTAAGGGGAGAATGGCGGCATGCATCCATCAACTTGAGAAGTAGGCCGTAGAAATAGCTTCATGCATACACACCAGCTTGTGCGGCAATCAATTGCACTGACAAATCCTTTACAAGGATCAGAGAGGCTGTGCTGGAAGCCTTCTCTCTTCATTCCCCTAGAGAAAAATATAGCTCGTGCTCCTGTAGAACAGTTAACAGCCTTTCACACTCCGCTACTCTGATGGCGAGGGAGGGTATGGGACCCAGAAGGAAGTCTGGAGCAAGGTCATGTTTTGATTGTAAGCTCCTTGGAGCAGAGACCCCAAGCACCATAAACCCGAAACAAGGCCTGTACCATTAAATAATAGTAATGTTCCACATGTGTCTTCTGTTTCCTAGTTAGAATAATAGAATCATAAATCATAGAATCAGGGGTCGTTTTGTAGAAAAAGAGCTAGGGGAACTCATTAGCATAACTCATTAGCATATGCCACACCCCCTGACATCACCGGAAGTGTGTCATAAGGCCACACCCCCTGACGGCGGGAGTGCAAGGAAGCCCCGCCAAGGTCCTCCCTGGCCCCAGGCAGGCAGGGGTGTGGAGAGGCGGGGGGGGAGCAACTTACCCTCCCTCTTCTCCTGCCTCCTCCTGGCTGAATGAGGGCCGGAAGCAGGGCGGCCGGAAGCAGGGGGCGGGGCTTCGTCATGTGCCCCACCCCCCGTACCTCACCCGGCGGAACTGCGATCCCCCGCGATCCCCCCCTGAAATGACCTCTGCATAGAATCATAAATAAATATACAATCATAGAGTTGGAAGGGGCCTCCAGGGTCATCTAGTCCTACCCCCTGCACAATGCAGGAAGTTCACAAATACTTCCCCCTCCACACCCCCAGTGACTGCTGTTTTATGCCCAGAAGATGACAAAACCCCTCTAGGATCCCTGGCCAAACTGGCCTGGAGAAAAATTGCTTCCTGACCCCAAAGTGGCGATCAGCATTTCCCTGGGCGTGTAAGAAAGGGCCACGAGAACTAAGCGCTGATGCAACCCTCCCTGCCCTCCCTCTTGTGATCTGCCTAAATTCACAGTCGTAAGCTCCCTGAATTTGGCATGAAAGCATGCAAGTCAAAAGGAATAGCTGTTACCTTCCAACTTTTCTCAAAGTCCCACCTTGTACATCATCCAGATAGTCGAGCGGCCCGAGCGGAGATTGGCCAGCGAAGCACGGCGGCGGGACAATGCCGTAGGCCGGAGCCAATTGGGACAGAGGCCGGCTGCGGAGCGCGCGCTGTCGGCCCACGCCCCGAAGGAGTCACTGCGACCGGAAAAAGAAGATCTGCGCCGCGACCGGAAAAAGAAGATCTGCGCCAAAAAGACGTCGTCGCCTGGATTGAAGAACCTCCGCAAAAAAGAAACAAGAACTAAGTCCCTGCCATGGGTGCCTGATAGGTTGTCACTTCCCCCTCATTGTGTGTGGCCCTAGTAAAAGGTAATGTAATTAGTAGTTGTACAAATGTAAACCGCTCAGAGCCCTTAGGGGGTGAGCGGTCTATAAATTGAATGTAAATACAATTTTTAAAAAGATAATCCAACATTAATCCTAATATTAATCCAAATATCCCAGCCCTGGCCGGACAGTCCTTACCTTCTGGACGGAGCTGCTGCTCCCCTCCCCCCGCCCGACTTGACTGTTCCACAGTTGCCAGATCCAAGGAGTCTGGGGGGGAAATGTCCCCCTCCCATCAAACTTGAGAAGGCCATTCATTTGATTCATCCTTCTTCCCTTTGCCGCCAACGTTTCCA